ACCGAACCGGGACTGGCCGGGCCGGGACTGACCGAACCTAGACTGACTGAACCGGGCCTGGCCGGGCCGGGACTGGCCGGGGTCCAGCGGGACAGCGCCGTGCAGACGGAGCCAGGTAGATGCGGGGTGGACACCGCTGCGAACGTGGCCCCGCGGGGAAGGAGCGTGGGAATCGCTCTGTAAATGGACACAGTGCAGTGTTGGGATATTTGCCTTCTGGTCGTGAATTTGGGCTGTGTTTCTCAGCTGCCTGCCACGCGCGTCCGGGAAGATGTGTGTGTTTGAAACGCTGACGGTTTCAGGAAAAACTGCCTTCCCAGAAGTTATTTCCCTGCCCTCTGCCTTAGCAGCGCAGTTTGGTGCTTTTAGGATCTCTTGGGCATTGCCAGCTCATTATTGATATGTTAGATTGTCAGCAGAGCGAGCTAAAGCAAACGGCTCTCTGCGATGTACTCTGCTCTGGAATACACCGTGTGCCTTGTACAAAGTATTGTTAGCTGAGTTGCTTGGTTTGGTTATGGGTGTGTAAGAAAAAATTCTGATTTACAGTCTATGTGTAACATAGCTACAGTTTTATTGGGCTCTTTTAAAAATATTTCATAAATCGCACTTGATTAAAACTACATTCTATTCTGTTATCACAGTGGTTGTGCTGCAAAGGTGAGTGAAATTGTCTAAACTCTTGTAGTTGGCTCATACACCAGTTCTGTTTGTTTTGTTGATTGAGTTTGGCCCCAGATGTAAGACCTTGAACAAATGGAAGGTTGAAAGTGCTCCTGGAATGTGAGGGATGTGTCTGAAATAGTGTGGGGTTTTTCCTTGGTTTTTTTCTTTAAAGGTCAGACCATAATCTAATGAAAATGCAGAGGGCTGTGGATTGTTAAAGAAGCAAGTTATGGACAGTGAGAGCTGTTACATTAAAAAAACAAACCCTACAAACAACAAAAAACCTGACTCATCATTGCCCTTGGTTTGCTGCAGTTATCTCTCTAATGTTTCCTGAACTTAGGGGTGACCAGGCCTGAGAGATACTGTAAGGACCAAGAGTGACTGAGCTCACTCAGTTTGTAAGGAGAATGTCTGGGGGAGTGCAATTGTTGTATGGAGCTCTTCAAAGTAAAGATTCAGCCAATGCCCAGTTAAGTGGGCTAAGAACTGCAATGCTGTGACCTTTCTGTCGATATATGTTGCTTAGAATTTTCTTTGGGGAGACTTTGTTAGTTTATTAAAGTGCAATAAAATACTTGTTTTGTAGAACAGAAGAAGACAACAGATGTAAAGCAATTAGCTCAGGGCTGGTGCTAACGAAGAGAAACTCTTTCAGGACAGGGGAGATGTTCTGGAGAAGAGAGCAACGTACTAAGCTAGTCTTTCCACTAAGGAGGATAACTTAAGATGTTGTAGAAAGCAGGTTCAGGATAGATCTTGAGCGGAACAGGAATTTTTTGGGAATAGAGGAGTGAGTGGTGACTGCACTGAACTGACAGCTGATGGGGATTGTTTTGCTCCTGCTCCTCTTTGCAGCTCTGTACCAGGAAGATGCTGAGAGTGACTCAAGTGGTGACTCCTGGAGTGATTATGGCAGTGGTGACAAATCAGGGACTGTTTTGGGAAGGGCTGTCACAGAAGGGAATGTGCTTTTTCCAGATGTTTTTCACACCGACCATCTTCTGTTTTACGAGCGATTTAAAGCTTACCAGGATTACATCTTGGGTAAGTAACTTTTTAGTAGAAAAAGAATGTGTTGCCAGTTTTCTTGTAGTGACTGTTTAAATGAGCCAGTTTAAGTGGAGTCAATTGTATATTAAGCTGTTAGATACTTTTAATAACAGGGATTAGAAGTGATGTAGTGTAGTGCCATCATTTATGTTTAATCTCAGCTGCTCCAGCTGGTGGACAAGAGGCAATGGTTTTAATAAAAGTAAATAAAATCTGAGTGATGGAAAGGCAGAGGTGTTAATAGTGGATTCTGTGCCTTGTTTTAACTGGTCTTACTAGATTTTTTTTGGTGTATAGTAAAGCCTGTTTAAGGTAAAGCAAGGATTATGAGTTTAATAACATTGGCACTGAAACCTTCAGTACTTGGAAGGTTGAATTGTGGTTCTCTTCTTTAAGAGAAGCACAAACCAGATGACTCTTCAGCTCCTTCAAAGAAAAACAGCAAAAATGCTGACAGTTACGAGCAAAACAGAATGAAGTCCAACTTGAGAGGGGTAGAGGAGCATTTCAACTGTGACTTTCATTTTCCAGTGATCTGGAGAACTTCTCATTCCTTCCTTCCATAAATGCCCTGTCTTCAATTTCTTTTTAGCTGACTGCAAAGCTTCTGAGGTGAAGCAATTCACAGCAGAGTACCTGGAGAACGTCCTTGAACCGTCAGGGTGGCAGGCGATCTGGCGCACCGACGTGTTGGAGGTCCTTGTTGAGGTAAGAGCAAAGCTGCTGCTTGGGCATTGGTCTTCAATGAACATCATTTGCCTCTCTAACAGACAGGTCTGAGCTGGCACAAAATGATAATGTTGCTATATCCAATTGCCAGTGATGGTGAGAGCAATAGGAGTTGTTTTTCTAAGAGTTCCTTGTTGAAATGGGGTGGGAGGGATCACCAAGCCAGTGTGAGTGAGCTGTAGAACTCTGAGGACACAGAGGAGATAAGTACTTGGTCCAGAGCTGGCTGTTGTAAGTAGTAAATTTTCAGTTGTTTTTTTTTTCCAGTAAAATCCTTCTTTTTAACCCATCTTGGTACTGACAGTAGCTCCTCTGCATAGCATGCTCCTGTCACAGACCCAGCTGGAATACTCCTCTTCTAGGTCTCCCAATATCTAAGTCAAACATCTTTGTTGCAAACCTTAGGTGTTCAAACTTGCAGTTCACTACATGGTTGAAGAGGGAAAAACTTTGTACATCCTCAGCTTTTCT